TACTTTTTAGACCGTTAATACTTTAGAAATGACTGTAATTATCATTTATTGTTATTTTTCAGGGTGATGAAGATCCAAAAGTGGTGAAAGCATTGGCAGATTTACAACAAGCCGAAACTATGTACAGAGATATAAATCGAGAGCTTGTGGATGCATTGCCGGCCACATACGATAGCCGAATAACGTTTTTCGTCGATACGTTACAGACAATTTTTAATGCCGAAGGCACCAATCATACCGAATGTGGAAAGGTGCCTTTTTTATGGAATGGTAGAACAGAGGAATTGAACTATGTATCATGTGTTAGAAGACATTTTAGAATGCAGCTTATGTTTCATCCCTTAGCTGTAAACACATTCCAAACTTTGCATGCGGATGGGAGCGGGAATCATCAGTACAGCCTCCTACTCGTCATGTACTGAATAGTCATGTGACTAATTTGCAAGACGGGTATGCGTAAGAAAGAGTAAAAAGCGAGAGAATAGAGAAGGTGAGAGAAAGAGAGTGGCATGGGGGTTGGTTTGAGAAACGGGTTTTGTATCAGGCAAAGAACTGTAGTATTGATAAAAAAGCTGAAAAAAATTATAACTCAAAGAAGCAGTTTCTGCACTTATAATGGGTTTTTTATGGAATTGTAGAACAGAGAGATTGAAATAAGTATCATGTGTTAGAAAACATTTTAGGATGTAGCCTATGTTTCATCCCTCAGCTGTAAACACATACCGAGCTTTGCATGCAGATGGGAGCGGGAATCATCAGTAGAGCCTCCTACTCGTCACGTACTGAATAGTCATGTGACCAGTTTGCGGGGTCGATATGCGAAAGAGAGAGAAAATAGTGGGGGAACAGAGAGGGTGAGAGGGAGAGGGTAGTATGGGGGGTTGGTTGTGAAGAAACTGTTTTTGTATCAGGCAAAGGAATATAGTATTGATAAAAAGGCTGAAAAAATTATAGTCCAAAGGATCAACTTTTGCAATATAATGGGTAGTAGTCCAAAAATGTTCGAGTACCAGCGGTCTAAGGCCTACTGTTTCGTGGAATCATGTTTTGCAGGAATCAAAACATTAGGTAAATTCGAGAACCTCGGATTTATTGGCTGAGAAAGATGTGGTACAGGGGTACAGTGAGGCAAAAAAAAAACCTTTGAAACTTAAATCTTTTCAATTTTCACTTATACACGCTGTACATGCTATGGTATGCCATCAGATATGAAGTACTTTTTTGCATAGTTCCCTTCATAAGCGGACCCAGGTTGGGGAGGGGGGGGGGAGATGGGAAGGGGAAAGGGCCGTCCTCCCTTCTGCAGGGGCACAGGTACCAGTCTAAAGCTAAAACTGAAGAAAACTCTCTTCCGCACTCCTCGTTGCCTCTTCCTCCTCACCCCTCCCTCCCAGGAGCCTCACCCCCTCCCCCTCAGGAGGCCGTCCTTTATCCGTGCATGGTTTCGTTGCTTTAAAAAAAACCCTTTTACTTTTCAAATTCTTCACTCATGCAAAATTTTAGAACAACAAAACGTTGGTAACGCTGCTGGATAATTTGGGCAATTCGTTTGAATCGCTTCGGGTACCACGAATTTCAACGGATCACTCGGTTTCTCCCGTTCCTTCCAGTGAAAAGTTAGCCCAAAATGAAGTTCTGCCTCGGCCAAGATCCGAAATACCAACGCCAGCACCAAGGCAGACATCACCGCGCGGCTCAACAGTGTCATTGCCCCTGAAAGCTGAGGCTCAAGATGAAGAAAGCGTGGAAAAGAAAATGTACCCTGTAAGTTAAAAAGAAACTATTGTAAGTCGTGTTTTTGTCCACGCTTATTGACCGTTTCAGCAAAAATTATAACCTAGTAGAAAGCGTACCGGCTGCCGGTACGAGGATGCGTTTTTTGCGCAGTTCCCCCCGC